GAAAATTTAATAAACTTACTTCAAATAAAAAAATAATAAATGAAATGGTGAATAGTCACCGAGAAACATGGAGTTGTTTAAATACCATTTAAAAAATAAGTATTTAATAATCTGAAAAGATGTGGTCATAACATTTGAATATCTATAAATAGATTTCAAAATTCATCATTTCGTTTATACACATGGAATTCAATTGATAATTGAATTCATTTTTCATACAAACATCTCATTGCATATTGTTGCAATTGTGATGTCTTATTTCTTCGACTCCTATAAAAGTCGTAAACGTCGTTTTGTTCGCCGTGTTCTAATGTGCTTCTTTGCTGGAACTGAAATAGTTGTTAAGTATATTGGAGAAGATTGTCGTAAATCGATAGCACTGCACGGACAAATTTATTATAAGGAGAAAGAATCAAGTTCTTGCCTCGACTGCCATTTTCGTGTCAAACCTTTGTCGAAATACTGTTTAAATTTTGTTCATTCTCATTTCGAAACAAACGCTAAAATAACAACTTACCCTGAGGTATTACAGTACACTTGCATCGCCATGATGTTTTTGGTCTAACATTCTCCATGAAGGTTTTCGAAAGATTGAATTAGTCTTCATTGATTGTAAAATTTTATTAATCTAGTGGAATCTTTTAAATAATTAATAAATTTATAATTTTCAATATACGGGATTTAGATAACCTAATAGGTTACGAAGACACTCCGAAATCGTAAATATATTCACATATTTTAATTATCGAAATGAATGGATGTCGAATATATCTTTACTATCTTGAAAACGATAAAATAACTCACATAAAAGTTGTCATTAAAACTACTAAGGGTGATTAAATTTTTTTAGCATCATGCGATTAAATTGAAGATGTTAATTTTATTCTTCGAGAGAAAAACTCTTTAAGTAGCAATACAGATTAAATATTTTTTTGTTGAATTGTAAGATAATAATACTATTAAGTTTTTACTACATTAAGAAAAAGTAAAGAAACTAGACTAAAAGACATCAATTTCAACAAGAAAATAAAAGATAATTATTTTTAACCCCTCACTAATTTATATAATATTGGATAATGCCAAGCCTTTTTATATTTTTGAGTAAAACTCATTTGTTGGAAGTTTGATTTAATATAAATCTAAATAATTAGTTTATACCATTTTTACACTTTCAAATCCTAATTAGGATTTGTTTTATCTTATTTTATTTGCATTTTATGTATTATTAAAAAATAATTAAAAAAAAAACTAATTTTTAATTTTTATTTAATGGCGATGGTAGGGGTTGTCGGAGCTCCGGTTAGCTGACTCAACATTAGTTGACATTAAAAAAAAAAATTCGTTTATTTTTTTTTTCCTGCGGCAAGTCGTCAAAGCTTTAGTTAGTTGACTCAACATTAGTTAACTTCAAAAAAAATAAAAGAAAAAAAGCTAAAGTCAACTAACGTTGAAGTTAATAATGCTGAGTCAACTAACCGAAGTTCCGACCACCCAAGTCACCGCCGTAAAAAAAAAAAAAATTAATAATAAATAATTAAAATAAATAAGATAGAGCAAACCCTGATTAGGATTTTGAAAATAATAAAAAAAATATAAACTAATTATTTGAGTTTATATCAAATGAAACTTACAACAAATGGGTTACTCGTAAACATAAAAATAACTGAGCTTATCACATATTATATAAATTAGTGAGGGGCTATCTCAAATAAACCCTATAATATATCCCATTCCTAAACATTACTAAATCAAACAGAGTTGCTGCTGACACTGAACTTAACTTTCTCAATGTAGCATAATTTTAGTGATATAATTTTAATTAATGAATTTTAATTGTAAGTTTCTAGAATTTCTATTCCCACTAATTAATGGGATTAGCCGTCAGCCAATCATAATAGTGCTTCTACATCTTCTCAGTTTTATTGTTGTGCAACATAATAGTGATTTGACATGACTAATTGTATTGAGAAAATATTATTAATTACTATTATACCCCGAAATAAAGCATAGTAACATAATACACCTACTCCACTGAATTATATATTATAAGTAGGGATGATCATATTACCCGACCCAGTGGGTACCCGCCCCGTTAAGGAATGAAGCGGGTAAATGTTTTTCAATTAATATCTAGAGCGGGTACAATGTGATGGATGCGGGTGTAATATATTTTTTCGCCGTACCCACCCTGTTTATCGTCCGTAATTTTTATTTACTTATAATACCCTTATATGTATATATGATATTACAATTTTGTCACTCCACCCTAATTGGTGCTAGTCAAATTCTAATTTTGTGTCCACCGTTTCAACCTTTCATCTTTACTTCGGATTGACTATTGATTTGCATTTGTATTTAAATGCTTAGGAGTTTAATTGTATTTGATAATTAGTAGGAATATATTTATTTGCATTAGGAATGCAGGAACAAATATTTTTGTTTTGAAGGAACGTGGTCATAATTGTTTTTCGCACTTAAAATAAGTCGGAAAAAAATGGGTTGAAAAATGGGCGAGTACTGCGGGTACAATATGGGCGGGACGGGTTCTATAATTTCAACCCGCAATGAGTAAGTGGCGGGTGCGGGTTGCTTAATTTTTTAAACAGGGTGAGTGCAGGGATTGCGATACCAACCCGTATTCGCCCCATGGACATCCCTACTTATACCTATTAATTATTATATCCAATTTTAAGCTAATTACCTCAATCTTTACATTTTAATAATAATTTTTTTCAACTCCCATTATTTTACATGCTCGTTCAGTTATTACTATTGCTTTTCAATTTTGATTTCTTTTTATTTTCGCTGGATTTTATAGAAAAAAAAAATATTTGTCTTTTAAAAGTAAAGAATGTCAAAAAACTGCAATAAAAATGTAAACTATCTT